CTTAGTAACACTAGGGGTGGCCCAATTATTTCTGCTCGACATCACTTAGAAAGAGATGAAGATGAGGACAAGAAAATGCAAGAGCTTGAAAACAAAATCAACGCTTTGATGACGGCTCAAGAAGTGAAAAAGACGGGTATTCCCTGTCCCTATTCAAGAGAATGGGATTCAATACCATACCCGTCAAAATTCAATCTGATTAACTTCACACCGTTTGAGGGGAAGAATTCGCCGATTCAGCACTTGATTTATTTCAAGTCTCATTTGGGCATAATCTCTGGAAACGAGGCTTTAATGGTCCGGTCATTCGTTGGCACCCTTCGTGGGCCCGCCTTCGATTGGTACCGACGGCTCAAGCCAGGGAGCATCAATTGCTGGGATGACGTGGAAAGTTTGTTCCTCAGCAACTTCTTCGATGATGATACCGAAGTGTCAGTCGGAACCCTTTTAGATGAGAAGCAAAAAGACGGAGAGTCAGTCAACGATTTTGTCAAGTGCTTCCGTGGCAAAGCAATGAATTGCAGAGATCCTATTACAGAGGAGTTCATCCTGCAAACATGCCATAATAACCTCTCCATTGATGTCGGAAAGAGTTAAAATTACGTGGTGAACAAGCTGAACACTTTCTTAAAAGAAAGAAAGTTGAGAGAGGTCAACCGACGACATCCACAATTCCTGTGAACGCAACTCTCGATCCGAGGTTCCAAAAAGAGTATTCTTTCGAAGATGATGAAGCTCCAGCCTTATTGGAATACCTCATCGCTAATGACAAAATTGAGCTGCCACCTATTAAAGATCAGGAGGGAGCTAAAATGATTACAGATCCAAACTACTGTGCATACCACAGAAGGGTTCTTCATCCCACCAATATTTGTTTTGGACTCAAAAACAAAATCTAAGCCCTAATTGACACCGACGTCATAACGGCAAAACAAGCCGATTAAAGACGACCTTACTCCATTGGATACACGAGTATAAACTGTTTCCCCATTACTCCATTGGATACACGAGTATAAACTGTTTCCCCATTACTCCATTGGATACACGAGTATAAACTATTTCCCCATTACTCCATTGGATACACGAGTATAAACTGTTTTCCTGACTCCGATGAGTATAAGAGTATAAACTTCTTCTCCATCTCACTCCAAAAAGTATACGAGTATAAACTGCTCCTTAATACTCCAATAGGTATATGAGTCTAAACTGTTTCCTCTCCTTCACGGGAAGTTCCTGGAGAATGCCATGCATGGTACTTTTAAGGATAACCCGATCATACAGCTAAACATGATGATAAACCCAGCTTCGCAAGAAAAGCTGGGGGTGGATGGTTCATGTAACGGGAAGTTCTCAGAAGAATGCTATATGTAATTTTCTTAGGGATAACCCGATCATTACAAACAAAGTGATAAACACTACATTCCCACGGTAATTTCCGAATACTCTTTTGCTGAGATGAGATTCGATCACTTCGTTGGATCAATCTTCCCTCACAAAATTCTATCTTGGTCAAACCTTTAAACAGTTAGGACCAAAGCTAAAATCCCCTCTCGATTCCTTCCATGAACGAGAGGTCCACAAATCAAATGATCAAACCTTTAAACAGTCAGGAGCGCCTCAAAACTCTCACTTGGTCAAATCTTACTACAGTCAGAACCATAACCAAAATCCCCTTTCGATTCATTTCATGAACGAGAGGTCTACTTTTGAATTGAATAATCAAACCCTATGACAGTCAGGATTATTCAAACCAATTCAGATTCTCTAAGTGGAAATCCCACTTCAAGTTTTCTTTAGACTAGGAGATAGAATATAAAATTATTCCTCTCCATCATTGGGTTCATCTCTACCAACAAACAAGAGACCAGGAGATAGAATATAAAATTCTTCCTCTCCATCATCGGGTTCATCTCTACCAACAAACAAGAGACAAGGAGATAGAATATAAAATTCTTCCTCTCCATCATCGGGTTCATCTCTACCAACAAACAAGAGACAAGGAGATAGAATATAAAATTCTTCCTCTCTATCATCGGGTTCATCTCTACCAACAAACAAGAGACAAGAAGATAGAATATAAAATTCTTCCTCTCCATCATTGGGTTCATCTCTACCAACAAACAAGAGACCAGGAGATAGAATATAAAATTCTTCCTCTCCATCATCGGGTTCATCTCTACCAACAAAAAAGAGACCATATTACTCCAATAGGTACACGAGTCTAAACTGTTTCCCTATCATCAACAGGAAGTTTCTGGAGAATATTACTCAGAATGTTCTTAAGAATAACCTGATTGCCTCCCAACGGGTATATGAGGTTAAACTATTTCCCGAATACTCCAATAGGTACACGAGTCTAAACTGTTTCCCTACCATCAACAGGAAGTTTCTGGAGAATATCAATCAAAATATTCTTAAGAATAACCTGGCTACCTCCCAACGGGTATACGAGGTTAAACTATTTCCCGAGAACTCCAAAAAAATACATGAGTATAAACTGTGTTCCTATGAAGACTGATACAGTGATTAACAATGCGGCATCAATTTGATGACAAAGGCTGAATTCACAAGTACAAATTCCAGCTTCAACTCAAGATCTCGACGACGGTCAAGCGATGAACGCCATGCCGAAAGGACCTTAGCTATTCTACAAAGCACTTAATAGACTGAGAAACAAAGAGATCAAATGTTGAAGCCATCTACAGGTTCTTCTATACGATCTACCCAACCAAGCATTGAAAGGATCATAAGTAAGACCTATCTTATCCAAAGCATCCCAGAACTCCTCTATAAAAGATTGAGTCTGGAATACTTTGGAGGGGGTATCTGTAGGCGTCAAAAAATGCTGAGAGATATCCAAACACAGCTCAAAAGGAAGTCATCCAAAATGTCAAAAAGAACACAAGTATAGACTGTCTCGCACGCGAGACAGTCTTTACTGTCTCGCGGGCGAGACAGACTTTTACTGTCTCGCCCACGCTCAGACATCTTCACTGCTCTCGCTGTGCGAGACAGTCTTTACTGTCTCGCCGTGCGAGATAGAATTTACTGTCTCGCACATGAGACAGCTCTCAGATGGTCAAAACCGCCTTTGTAACTGCCCTACACGTGTCCATTAACTGCCAAAGGATGTGGAAAACGTCGTGGGCGAGAATCACATTGATAACTGCCAAAATAACGGAGTTTGAAACGTGGAAAGGGAGTTACAGCGAAAACTGCCAGGAATATTCATTTTTCGAGACAGTGTTTACTATCTCGCGGGCCGAGACAGCAAACACTCCGAGACAGCAAATGCTGTCTCGCGAGCCTGTTTTCCGCCAACTGTTCTTGGAGGTTATAAATATCCCCCGAAGGCCATTTTTGAAGGGGGCTGATCATTTTGAGCACTTCAGAGCAGACAGAGCAGAGTTCTTGAGCTTCCGGCAATCCCTTGAGATTCGAACTTTGACTTGATTTCAAGAAGAACGACTATCTTACTTTGATAAGATATCGTTTCAAATTCTCACTTCGATAAACGAAGAAAGAATCATTAAACCCCTCACAATTCAATCAGGATCTGTGATTTGGTGGTCCACGAGTCAAAACGCTCCCGGCACAGGCAAAGATCTCACGCAAGCAGCGATCCAAACAACGATCCTGCGTTTGTTTCTCAAGAGTTGTAATTTTTTCTTTTGTTGTGTAAAAGGAGTCTTATAAAAAGGCTATCTCTTTTTTGAATTCGTTGTAATCGACCGAAGATATAATGAATTCCATAACAGAAACAACTTTTGACGCAAACAAGCTGGCGACCACAGTGGGAGTCGAACCCACGACCTTTTGATACTCCAATAGGTATATGAGTCTAAATTGTTTCCTACTCTTGACGGGAAGTTCCTGGAGAATTTTTACATATAATATTCTTAAGGATAACCCGGTCATGTAACTCAGTATGATGTCAGACCCAGTTTCGCACGAGTTCAATTCTGAAAACCCTAACTTAACTACATGTTAATTCATTTGAACAACACCAGTAATCATATTTTTTTTAAACACTTATAAACCCTAACTCATTTAAGTTTCATTCGTGCTATAAGTATGTGTGATTATTTAAGTTTGTGATGTGAAAATATGTGAAATAATTTTTTGTAAAAAATAGAGTGATATATAACACATTATAAATTTTTATAATGTGTTATAATCCAATTTAGGTGAATAAAAAGATAACGTTATCCCTAGACTTCCGTCCAATAATTACATCCAATTATTTGGACTTATAATATATGATATACGACTCAGATTTGGGTAGGAGACGAAGTTTTCTCCCAAAAATGAGCGTTTATTTTATATTATAGGAATAAAAAATTGGTACTGAAATTCGTAATTATTGGATCTGTCCTTCTCGGACGGGTTAGGAATATAGTAGTGCATACATCCAACTTTGTATACTTTGTATATTTTCATTCTTGAAAGTTTTGGCAGCACCTATTCGTTGTTCTCCGTGTACAATAAGCGTATGTTGTTCTGTGTTTCGGGTTATTACTGATACGCATAATAACATCCGCACAGTGTACAGGGAGAACAGCGGGTAGGTGCTGCCGAAATTTTCAAGAAATGAAAATATACAAAGTATATGAAGTTGGATATAAGCACTACTATATTCTTAATGGATAGAAGTCTTCCTATGACAGCCGCAAGATTAGTGTAATTAGTTTTTACGTATGTTTTATATATATTTTATGTAGATAAATATTCATATTGTTAAATGATATATGAACGTATGTTTGATGTGTGTTGAATGTATAAGAGTAATGGATGTATTAGTAGTTGTGAGACTAATCGTATTTAATATTTATATATAATTTATAGATGAGGATAATTCCTGACAAGTCATGGATAGATATCCCTAGGCATCGTAGATTTCACGACACACGATACAAGGAGGGATGTGAAGCCTTCATGCGTTATGCAAAAATGAATCCGAGAAATTTAAAAAGCGGTGCTATGTACTGTCCTTGTTGTAGGTGTAGGAATTTGAAGCTGCTGAATAGAAATGATATACGGAATCACCTAATAAAATCAGGTTTTGATGAGAAATATAAATACTGGAACTGGCATGGGGAGGGTATCACTGAAGATGAGGATCCAAATATGCATGTTGGTACGTCCGGTGGCCAACGAATAGATGACACAGAAACATTGTTGAATGATATTTTTTCTCGACCTACAGAATATGATGTTGATGATAATGTCGAGGATGATATTGGGGACAAAAGTGAATATGATAACGAAGTTGAATCTGAAGAGGTAGGAGGTGTCGCAAGTGTCGAAAATATTGATGATATGCATTCCTCCGTAGAAATAAAGCGAATAATGGAGCTACTAGAAGATAGTGAAAATGACTTATATGAGGGATGTACCGAGTACTCCAGATTTTCATTTATGCTGAAACTCCTTCATATTAAGACACTTAGCGGTATGTCAGATAATTATTTTGAAATGCTTCTTGATTTGCTTCGGACTGTAATCCCTGGAGGAGAGAATAGCATACCCCAAACAACTTATCAAGCTGAGAAGATTGTCTCTGCTCTGGGTCTTGATTATAATAAGATTGATGCATGTCCGAATGATTGTATTTTATACCACAAAGCCAATAAAGACCTTCAAGAGTGTCCGACATGTGGAGTTTCTAGGTGGAAACAGCGCACAAATTCTTCAACAAGGATTACAACGGAGACAGTGATAACACAGAAGAAAATTCCAGTCAAAGTGCTTCGATATTTTCCATTGGCTCCTAGATTGCGAAGATTATACATGAACAAGGAAACGGCAAAGAATATGAGGTGGTATAAGGTTGAAAAATCACTTCTTGATGATACTACATTACCAGATGAAATTATTATCCATGCACAACGTCCTTATCACGAAGTGAGACGTTATAATGAGCATTTGGTGAATGGATATAAATTTCGAACGTTAGAGACCGATGATAGGAGGGTAACTCAGAACAGTGGGGTCATGGGCTTGTTTGCTCAAGAATGTTTTTCAAGTATAAGAGATCAGAATCCAATTCTAGCTGACATATTATATTATGGCCAATTAGAAGATATCGTTGAGGTAATTTACGGGTTTGGTAAACCAAAACAATGTACTTACACGATGTTCAAGGTTCGGTGGTGTCCTGCAAAAAAGCAAAAGGATCATTATGGATTTACACTAGTCAATCTTCACCGAGAAGTATATACGGATGAGAAATTCATTTTCGCAGAACAAGCTGATCAATGCTTCTATGTGAAAGATCTGAATGTCATGTCTGATTGGGTGGTTTTGTACAAGGAGCCAAGATCTGTTGTTCTTCCTAATAACAATGAAAAAATATTGAAGAAAGTGAAGATAATTATAGTGAACCAATCGGTTCATCTGATGATGTTTGGCAAAAATTCTCTTACGCACAGAATATGGCGCTAGATGTAGGTATGAACTATATATGTTACACCACATTATCGATTTTTATCTTATCATAATAAAAACAATAATGCATTTCATAACAACATATCTCATGAGCATGTATACAATTTTTTCTTAACGATTGTCTTTATTATATTTGCAGATGAGGAGGAGGATGAGGAGGCTCTTTGACCTGGAGGGTGATCGCTCACGGAGTATCACCCCAGGTAGTGGTGCTGATGATCCACTACCATCTCCGGATGCAGGTATAAAAATTAATTAATACTTTAACATGTTTTATAAATTTTTAGTTATCTAGCTCATAGTGTTCATTTGTTGTAGATGCTGGATATTCATCACCCGGCCCCTCTGATGCAGCACCAGAACCATCCCCCGACGCAGCACCAGAACCATCCCCCGACGCAGGTATTAAATATTTAATAATTGATAATGTTCAATTAAAATTTAATATTAATGATTCTTCTTTCTTATGTAGGTGCTACTTGGACCCCGACATATCCATCATATACATTCCATACTGATTTGCGGCCAAAAACCCAGGACTTTCTCAGTTTACCTTTACCTCCGGACTCTCATAAGTCCAAGGCTGACTTAAGGAAGTACCACCCACGTGCTGCGAGAAGGTATCAGGAAATGCTTCCTACGTTGGAGACTAGGAAAGCTGATGCACTCGCAGCAAAAGAAAGAGAGATAGCGAATGGTAAATTATATAAATACTTTTAATTTTTACATTTGTATATTATATGATATATTATCATGTTGTCATTATTGTAGGTGCTAAGAAGGATCGCATAGAGGGACGACGTGGCGGAGGTAAGCCTGATTCTAAACAACCGCCAAGAGGAATGAGGGCCATTATTAGGTGGAATAGTTCTAATTTACCCGTTGGTCCTTGGTCGGCCCGATTGAATGCATATATTGGGGTTCTCGTGCGTAGAGCGACCATTATCAACCCTTATTTTTATTTTCGAGAATTACCATGGACCGCATACGAGGCGATATGGACTGCCCTTATGGTAAGTGCATATTGTTTTAGATTTTCATTTATTAATAATTAGTAATTGATATTAAATTATCCTTACTAAATGTGTATGTAAATCTACAGGACTGCTTCTGCCTTGAGGACTTTGAGGGGGCTTGGAAATTGGAATTATGTGTTCAATGTTAATGTGTTTAATGTCAAGGTTGAAGCAGTCCTCAAACAATGGAGGCATGAGATCAAACATGAAACCTATGATAGGTATGAGGAAGACTGGCAGAGGTTTTTAAACCTCGATGACCGAGTTGACGAGATTCATTTCACGGCTCTCCTCATGTATTAGGACAGCGATGCCGCTAAGGTTAGTTTCATGAAATTTAGTTTATAATTTTAAGATATTATTTCATTTTATATTTACAGAATTTTTTTAAAGAATAAATCCACGAAGGGGTCAGAAAATAGAAGAAAGAAGCTGCATGACCATCACTTGGGCTCACACTCCTACGCCAATCTGGAAGATGTTTATTGTCAAGATACGGTATATGTCATTTAAAGATTTAAAAGATCTTAATGTTTAGTATGATTATGAAATCTCATAATTTATAATATGACAGGGGAAATCATTAATGCCGATACACTTGAGGGCCAGAGCGGCATATGGTACTTTTCGTGAACAATATAGGGGTGATGAGAGGAATCGGGATAAGATCACGGCAAATCTCGAGTTAGTGGTGAGACTTATACATATCTTGAGTAGTATTATTAATTCTATTTTGTTAACACTACGAGGAAACGAGAACACAAATAATATGGTCATTATCTTGAATTAACTATAAATATGTGATTTAGGAGGGATTTGAGACTGCATCCAAGGAGGCTGCATCTGTGTACATTTCGCAGGAGGAGGAACAAACCGAGCCAGACCCTCACATGCTTTCTGCAGAGGAGAACATCAATCTCACACAGAACCTGATGGGTCATAATAGGTAAGGATGGTGAAAAATCGAATCAATTTGAATACTACATACTATTTATATTTGTTTACCATTATTGAATTTGAGAGCAAAGTTTAATATTTATTTCTCCCTAATAATAGGAGAGGAAGATATCCTCTACATGGTGTCGGAGCTTCACCTGGTATAAGCATCAGATCGTCCACAGCATCCTCCACACCATCTACATCGACGAGAGCAGCCACAAGCAGTTTCCAGGCTATGCCATTTGTCGCACGTATCTCTGCGTATCTGATTGACAAAATTGACCCGGAGCTGCATATTCAGGTGACTAATGAGATGACTAGAGTTGCGCTGACGGCGAACTCGATGGACGATCTCATGGGGTATGTTATACAATATTTAGGCGGTGCTATTCCTTATAGCACGTTGTAGGCGTCAAAAAATGCTAATAGATATCCCAAGCATAGAGAAGATCATTCAAAAATTCACAAGAAAGGATTTCATACTGTTTTGGAAAAAAATCAAAACAAGTATGAACTGCCTCGCCAGCGAGACAGTCTTTGCTGCCTCGCCAGCGAGGCAGTCTTTGCTGCCTCGCCAGCGAGGCAGTCTTTGCTGCCTCGCCAGCGAGACAGTCTTTGCTGCCTCGCCAGCGAGACAGTCTTTGCTGCCTCGCCAGCGAGACAGTCTTTGCTGCCTCGCCAGCGAGACAGTCTTTGCTGCCTCGCCAGCGAGACAGTCTTTGCTGCCTCGCCAGCGAGACAGTCTTTGCTGCCTCGCCAGCGAGACAGTCTTTGCTGCCTCGCCAGCGAGACAGTCTTTGCTGCCTCGCCAGCGAGACAGTCTTTGCTGCCTCGCCAGCGAGACAGTCTTTGCTGCCTCGCCAGCGAGACAGTCTTTGCTGCCTCGCCAGCGAGACAGTCTTTGCTGCCTCGCCAGCGAGACAGTCTTTGCTGCCTCGCCAGCGAGACAGTCTTTGCTGCCTCGCCAGCGAGACAGTCTTTGCTGCCTCGCCAGCGAGACAGTCTTTGCTGCCTCGCCAGCGAGACAGTCTTTGCTGCCTCGCCAGCGAGACAGTCTTTGCTGCCTCGCCAGCGAGACAGTCTTTGCTGCCTCGCCAGCGAGACAGTCTTTGCTGCCTCGCCAGCGAGACAGTCTTTGCTGCCTCGCCAGCGAGACAGTCTTTGCTGCCTCGCCAGCGAGACAGTCTTTGCTGCCTCGCCAGCGAGACAGTCTTTGCTGCCTCGCCAGCGAGACAGTCTTTGCTGCCTCGCCTCGTGTTTTTGCTCTCTGTCGGTCGACCGACGAAATTTCCGGTCGACCGACTATATGACCGTTGCTTTTTTCAACGGCTATTTTCTGAGCGTTTGCTGGGGCTGTTTTGTCTTTTTGCTTGGGGGTTTTGGCTGAAGTTTGAGAGTTTTTGCTTGGGGTTTTTGGCTGAAGTTTGAGAGGGTATAAATACCCCATTGCTGTCATCTTTCAAGGTAGATAAGAGAATGGTTTAAAAGATTTTAACAAGGGTTTAAACTTGTTTAGTGTTTGTTTAAGTTTGTTTTAAGAAGCTTTTAAGCATTTGAGTGTTTCGGTTTTGTGATTCAATTCTACAAGAGCTTGTGGAGATCATCTATTGGTGTTTGAGCATTCAACTATTCTCCCTCCAACTCTTGATATATTGAGAAGTTTTCTAAACTCTATTTCTAGCTATTTTATATATTTGATTATCATTGTTATTTTATATATTTAGCTAGAACTACATTGAGTTTAGTTTTGATTTATATCTCTTTATTCACACACAACCTTTTGAGCTTATTGTATTTACATTCATAGTATAATTTGGGGTTGTGAGTTTGTGACTAAGAGTTGTGCTTAATTGAGTTCTCACATTGTTTTGAGAACAATCATTTGTTATATTTGTGCTTATTGTGAGAATCACTTTGTAATACACTTGTACACCGAGTGAGGAGTGTGTGGTGAGAGTCGGGGATCGTCCCAAGAGGAGTGGCATCGGTTGACGTTCCTAGGGAGAGGTTGTAACCGAGCACTTGAGGGAGACACGGCTAGGTCCAATACTTAGTGGGTGTAGAGTGTGATTGCAAGAATGTGAGTTGTAAAGTTTTCGGTTAGCTAGAAAATGAACGTAGAAAACCCGGTTGAGTTAGTGGATTTTTCCCCGGGAGTTGGAGCGGAGACGTAGGACGGAAGGTCCGAACTCCGTGATCATATCGCTTGTTTGAGTTTGTCTTTGGCATAGTTGTTTTTGCATTTATTTTATATCGCCAATTGTGCATTGCTCATTCACTTTATCCACTATCTTGTTTAGATGGTTTATCCCTTGTGTTAGTTTATATATCCTTGCATATATATATTCATCATATAGGATATATCTTATTGTTTACATTGCTTATCCTAGCTTACAAATATTGTTGTTTTTCATACTTGCTAGGATAACGTTTTAATTAATTTTAATTGGCATTTAATCGGATTAGATTAGCATAAGACCCTAATCACCCCCCTCTAGGGTCTAACATTACGCTGACGGCGAACTCGATGGACGATCTCATGGGGTATGTTATATAATATTTAGGCGGTGCTATTCCTTATAGCGCGTATGGTGGTGTCATACGGATCATTAGCTCGATTGGCGATAATTCCGGTGCTAGACAGAGTAGTGCTCAGGTACCTTATTTTTTCTTATATTTATAAATTTATTTTTATCTAATATGTTATCAAACACCACATAATGATTATTCAATTAAAACATTCAGAGTGGAGATATTGGAGGGAGCAGCACTCGTTCTCGTAATCGGGATAGAGATACCCCCGCCGACGACGATGGATGAAGTTTTTTTATTTTTAATGCAATAAACAGTTTTATTTGTTATAACACTATATTTATTCATGTCGTGTATTATCTTAGTCATGTGCATTGTTAGTATATATGTTGTTGGGTGTGTTTTAGACGGAACTGATTGATGTATATTTTGAAGTGGATGGTTGGATTTGTACAATGTGTTGGATTTGGTTATATAGATGTTTTTGAATGGAATTGTTATGAATTTTGATTATGATTGGATGGTTGAATGTGGCGTGTATAATATTTTTTGGATGTATTCAAATATTAATGTAATTGTACAGGGAAATACAAAATTTAATTAATTTTTTTCCCTGAAAAAAAGCAATCTAGACGGAATTCCGTCTAGATTGAGTTAACCTAGACGAAATTTCCGTCTAGGTTGTGAAAAACCAACCTAGACGGAAATTCCGTCTAGGTTGACAGACCAGACGGAATTCCGTCTGGTCTGTCAACCAACCTAGACGGAAATTCCGTCTAGGTTGACAGACCAGACGGAATTCCGTCTGGTCTGTCAACCTAGACAGAATTCTTTATTCCGTCTAGGTTGACTTCCGTCTAGATTGATCAACCTAGACGGAATTCCGTCTAGTTTGCTTCAATCTAGACGGAAGCAAAATAAACCACTCAAACTAGACGGAATTCCGTCTAGATGACCTAATCTAGACGGAATTTCAATCAACCTAGACGGAAATTTCCGTCTAGGTTGATCGTTTTTCTACTAGTGAAATTTTTTTGGGGTTTAGTGCAAATTTTAAAAGTTATTGGGGGTTCACTACAAAATGCTGAAAGTCCTTGGGGATTTAGTGTAATTTATCATCAATTTTATATATGATATATGAACCTAGGGCTTCCAGCAATATATATATATACATATATAATTTGATAGTGTATCACTTTTTTTGTTCTTATCCTCCCCTAAAGAACCCTTAGTTCTCATTTTTTAATTTGGGATCCTCCTATTAAAAGATATTGGAGGGTCGCTAAAATTTTCTTCACAATCATTAATTATTCGATTGACGATTATAATCCAATCTAGAGTAAAGATAAGAATCATAATAGTACACAATAGTCCTGACAATAAGATTAAGAGTTTCCTGTGCATGCTAGGAGAGGTAGTCTTCTCGCTGCTTTGAATCTCCCAAGGAGACGTGCTCCGATTGATACCATATGTCTTTGTGTCGAGAGCAGAGGTGAGAGATGTATGGAATCCAAGTTATATGGCTCTCTTCTCATATTTTATTGGCTATGGGGGAAAATTTCCCCACTGTTTTTCTTTGATGCGTGACAGCACTATCCACAGATCAGTTCGAGCTTTGGTGTGTTGGGTGTTGGTTAATATATGGCCATAGAAATTCTTTTTTGTTTGTGCAATGACATAGTCTGTACAATAGCTATGATTGAGTAATAACAAATTCTCATTTGATACTAGTATTTATTTAAGATGATACAATACAGGCAAACACACGTGTACAAAAGTTATTACACTAACTAACACAAAAATTAGCATTTACGTTGATTTCAACTTTAGAGCCATCGATAGTCAAGGAGGACCCATTGGTGGTCAAGACTCATCGACGGTGTACACTAAACAATCGCAGAATTCCAGAAAGTTGATTTCGAAACATCGATAGTCCATATATAGTGACCCATGGATGGCCACGACCCCATCAATGGTGTATAGTGGCTAATGGCAGATTTATGGAAACACGAAATCAAACCATTGATGATTTACAGACACGCATCGATGGTGCTTAGGGTCCCATCAATGATCGTGAGGAACTATCGATGAAGATGACAAGAATTTGCAGATTTCAAGATTTAATCACAACCATTCGTTCATACCTTTCATCTCTATCTGCTACTATGATTTAGATATCTCTTTCCTAGTTTATTAGAGGCTATATAAGATTGAAAAAGATAATATTTGAGGAGAATTCTAGGGTTTGGAAAGAGAAAGCTTGAAGAGAGAAAATTCTAGGATTTGTGTTAAGAAGATTGATTTATGATTTGAACCCCGAAGCCTCAACAAACTCTTTCTTGTTACACTCAATATCTTCGGATCATCTTA